GTGGGCATCAGTATTGCTCAAATGCATGATCCGTCTAGACCTACGGTGTAGACAATTGAGGAGGCTGGGAAGCATGAGCGATTGTGATAACAATGGGGACTACTGGCGCTTGATGGATGAGGTTTGACAGGTGAGCCTAGATCTGGTAGGGTAAGGCTAGTATGGGCTTTTTCCGAATCCTTATATGCAAAACGCGCTGTCTGCTAGTGTAATTGTGGTGTCTGTTATGGTGAGAAACGTCCTACTATTTGTCTGAGAGCTGATTATTACAACTACAGCATACATTAGGAGTCCTTCAGTGGACATTTTACGCCTCTTATAAATAAGCGCCAGAACTGATTGGGAATGATCGATATACTAAAGGAAGGACAAATAAATTACAAAATAAATAGCGCACATCTGTAACCATTTCATTGGACATCTTGCATAATCAACGGGGGATTGATGTGAATACTGAACTGCCGTGGTGTGTTGCCGCTCCACCCAAAATACCTACATCATTAATACGTTAAATGCCTGGTTCCTAGGATACATTGAGGCACCACAGCCTATATGCCTCATTGCAATAATGCGGTACCAGAACTTGAACCACCAAAATTGACTAGTTGCACTTAGATTAAGAACATTCAGTACCTAGCTCCCTGATTGTAACTCTATCAATGCTGCGGCACTCTATCGGTTACCGTAATCTTATGAGTAGCATGTCATAAATGTGCCTGAAACAGACTCAGGTAACTTGTCGTCACATATATGTGACACTGGAAACCGTTTCATTACTTGTTTTTGAATTATAAGTTACCCATTCAAGAGCCACCTTTTCACTCATTTTAAGTGATTAAGTATAACAAATTCCATTGTTTACCACGTTGGAAGCCTTCGGAGAAAAATTGCCAGAATCATCTCTGATGGTAGGAGAAATCCGGCAATTAATCCCGTTATATTTATGATCAGGAAACGAATAATACTTCCTTTTTAACCATGCGGAAACTGTGGCTTGTACTAGCGACTTTATGGTATACCGTATATCACAGAAATTTTTTCAAAGAATAATGTCTCTTAGGTGTCATATCTTTGCATGTGAGTCAGAGAAATTTCTAATATTCTAATTTTTAGATGACCTCACTGCGGCTGGATGTGCGAGTAAAGAAACAGTTTCTATTCAGATACTAGACTGGTTCAAACATCGCTTCATGCATGATTTATTCTAGGCCCGGATAAAATCATCCACGGACTGGCCCAGCTAATTGCCAGACCTAGGTGTTACTGTCTAGTCAAGTGGAGTTCTCCACTTGAATACAATCACGATGCCGTATTATCTCTTGAATATTTGTATATCTTATCCAAAATTAGCTCATCAAATGGTTCAATGCGTGCACGACCAACCTTGAAAAGCCACCGGAAAGTGGGTGAAGAGAGATTCCTACGTGATTCCCCTTAATCACTAGTCTTTTTAAACGCACACACACAAATAAACATGTTTACTATTTATTACATGTTTTTATTGTTTTTCTGACCGATTTAATTACCCGGTGAGTCAGAGTGCAAATTAGATGCCTACGAGAGAGCAATAATCAGCATCAGATTGCAGTGGCCTTTACTATGAAGAGTCGCTTTTAAAGTAGTTCCAATCTGTTTTGAGGAAGGTACCTCAGGGAGTACACCTTCACCCCTAAATCTCACTCCCTCTCTCGCGCTCTTTTAAGGGGCGGATTAATTGTCCAAATCACGTGCACCACAAGGCGAGAACAGATGGCAGTTGTGGCTCACACACGGGCAGGCTGTGTTGACATGCTAATTTGTAGGTGTGCCGTGGCGAGGAGTCATTTCAGGGTATTCGTGGGTGGGTGGCGATGGAGGTAAGGCGGGAGGTATGTGAGTAAATGAAGAAGTGGATAGTGTTTTGGGACAGCATGTCATGTTCTCCTCTTTTTTTCTCTACTTGCAGGTGTGACTACATTACTTGACACCTGGACCGGTCCCAGTGTCATCATCCACCGCCTCTCTGTATTTATCGCATTTCACCTATTGAAAGATGTACTTTTTGTTTTTCTACACTCTAGCTCCTGTTTACGAAGGCTTAAACAGTGTTAAAAAGATAGCTCGATCGTGACTAGTTTATTTTTTTTTGTGAAGTAACAGCAACAACAACAGCACACCATTTCAGGTGTGGCGTTTTGATGATGACAATGATTTGGCATTTTGAGATACGATTTTCTGCTAGTCGATGAAAGATTTTGTGATGAACTAAATCCAGTTGTTAATGCTAAAAACAAGTATAATAGGCACAGCTGATAATTGTGGGACAGAGTAAAACCCAAATTAGACCGTCTGAACTGAATTAGAGCGAAAACAGATTGATGGACGGAATTAGAAGGAGGCAAGGGACGGGCTACAATCAAAAGCGGATTGAAATTAGTCAATTAAACGATACACCCTGTCTTCTGTAAATCGGACAGATTTGGTACCAATTTTACACAACTTCTGATATCTCGCGCGTTTAAGCACATGCACGCAAACGAAGTGACTGTAAAAGTACGCTTTTCTAATTAGCCCGTCAGTTTCCGAATTTTCGCTTGATATCCATTCCTTTCGCCAGCCTTTTTGATACATTTATAACAGCTATGGTGCTAATGCTGCCTCATGGCTCTACCCTGCTCCTCCTCCTTCTGCATTTAATGTCTAATTATGGCTAATTAAGGGTAAAAGAAGTTGCTGGTGTACTCTTGTTTCATAATAGTTAAAGTGTACCAAAAAATAATTAAATTCTCATCCAATGAGTTACATTTCTGGCTATGTTATTTTAGCGCTCGGAACAGGTGAGACAAGAGTTTTTGGAGGAACGGAAACCATGGTTATGAAACATTGCAGCTTTGACTTGATTATATCGAGGTTTGTTGGTTAAATGAACATACAGTCTCACGCTTTTAAGACAAATCGTAATGCTTCGATGGCTTCTTTACTTCCAGTTTTCGTAAGTGACCACTCATTTAGGAGCTCCGCAATCCTGCCTTCTCTGGGCGACCCGGACTCTGAGCCAAGTTAGTAGCGTTAGACTCTGCTGTAGGCTAGAATTACATATTCAGTCCGAGTATTCTCTTCATCCTTTTATGGAGAGATCTCGGGCGCTGCATTAGTGGTAGTCGTGGGATCCATAAACCAAGAAAGTAAGGATGAAAGGATGAAGGAAATCAAGGAAACCCTTTTGGACTGGTCCCCAAAACCGAGAGTTTAACAAACAATTATCATATTAATAAAAAAAAACAAGAATTTGCAGTAGATTTACAATTATAAAGAAAGCTGGAGTGGAAAGGCATTTATGTTTAAATAATTCAGCATTTTATAGAAAAATCTTGATGACGCAATTTCCGCGTACTTTAGTATTTATCTTGCTCTACTGTTACTTAGGCATCACGAAAATTCTGGAAAATTAGACCCTTGCTTTATCTAAAAAGGAGACGGGAAATCATAAGATTTGGGTGGAAGCAACAGACTTTTTCTTGGTTCAGCTATAGAGAAAAGTTAATCTCGAAAATGTGAGTCAAAAGTGCAACAGTTCATTACCTGGATGGAAACAAGGGAATTCTCGCCAATTTACCAAAAAATTTCCATGTTATACTAATGATCATGTGGCTTTTGTGAAGACATAC